TTGAAAGACTGTCAGGCATTAGAGAGGTTAGATTTTTCTATTTGGCCCCATAGGGCAGAATTTAAGACAATGGATAAAAATTACAAGAAGGCAAATTAGGCTATATGTAAAGAAAAACTTCTAAAAAATTCATTCTCCAAAAGTAGCAAGGGCTGCCTCTGGAAGTCATGTGCCTTGCCCTCTACCAACTACCCGTGTTCAAACAAAGGTTAGATGACCACATACCAAGTATGTAAAAAAGAACTCTTGCTTAGGTATAGGTTAGACTATGTGGCAACAAGGTCCCTTCCAACTCTGAAATTCTGGGATTCTGTGGCAGAGCATTGGGGATGCCCATATTTAGTAGATGGGAGAAGGGATAAGAATGCAGGATGAAGATTAAGGAACGTATTTTCATTGAGGTAGGAAGAAAATCAGAAGAAACAAAAAGTTCTCATTGATGACAAAGGAGAAAAGAATGTCAAGAACAGATCATTAACGGTGTCAAAAACCCCCTAAAAGATGAAGAATTAGAACTGAGAAGATTCCAGAATCACACAATCACTGAATTTGAGATCGGGAAGGAACTTCAGCATCCAGCCAGTCCAGCCGATAAACGAAAGAAATCCCTACTAATATACTTAACTAGCGGTCATTCAGCTATGCTTGAAGACCTGCAGGGAAGGACAATCCACTGCCTTTCAAGGCAGCCCATCCTACCATTGGACAGCTCAAATTATTAGGAAGCTTTTCCTGACTTCATATTACAATTTGCTTTTTTGGATCTTCTCCTATTTGTTCCTGGTTCTGCCCTCTGGGGCTAAATAGAATGATTCTGAGTTGTCCTCCATGTGACAATCCTTTGAATAGCCAGACACCTATCACATGCCCCCAAGGCTTCTCTTCTCCAGCCTAATCTGGTCCAGTTACTTCAACCAATACTCATGTGATATGGATTCAAGGCCCTTTACCACTCTGGTTACCCACCTCTGGCCACTATTCATCAATGTCCTTCTTAAACCATGAACACAATGTTCCAGATAAGGTCCAATGATGGTAAAATACTTCCCTATTCCTAGAAGCTATGTCCCTCTTAATGCAACTCAAGATTGTACTACCTTCATCATTGTTTTCCTTTTTTTTTTTTTTGCAACATGACAAATCAGAAAATGTTTTGCATAACTTCATATGTATGATGAGGGGCAGCTAGGCAGGGCAGTGGATAGAGCACTGGGCTTGGAATCAGGAAGATTTATCTTCCTGAGTTCAAATACAGCTTCAGACATTTACTAGCCGTGTGACCTTGAGCAAGTCACTTAACCCTGTTTGCCCCAGATTCTCATTAGTAAAATGAGTTAGAGAAGGAAATGGCAAACTACTCCAGTATCATTACCAAAAAAAAAACCCAAAATGGGGTCACAAAGAGTCAGACATGATGGAAACAACTCAACAACAATATATATAATGAGTATCATATTTCTTACCTTCTCAATGGGGGGGAGGGGGGAGGGAGAAAATTTGGGACTGAAAATAAAAATTTTTAAAAAATTAAAAAATATATTATCTTCTTTGGTTGTTACAGCACAATGCTGACTCATATCCAGCTTAAAATCTTTTAAAACCCAGGGTCTTTTTCAGAAAAACTGTCTTTTATCCATGTCTCTCCCATCTTCTACTGGAGAAGTTGATTTTTTTATACCTAAGGGCAAGACTTTATCTTTATACCTGTAGGATTTCATCTTATTAAATCTAGCCTATTGGTAGGCTCCAGTCTATCAAGAGTCTTTTGGATTCTGGCTCTGTTGTCCAGTATGTTAGTTATCCCTCTCAGCTTTGCGGTATGGATGAGTATCTATGCTCTTTTCTAAGTCAATGGTAAAAATACATAACTAAGAAATACACTGGTAAAAAAACAGCACTGTGCCTAACACAGATCCCCAAGTTACTCCACTAGGGACTTTCTGCCACATTGACATCAAACCATTAACTCTTTGAGTCTGGACATCTAATTGGTGCTGACACTATCTGGTTGTATTATGACCTAATTCATCTCCCTCCATCTTCTCCACAAGAACAGTATTGAATATGGCAATCAGGAGGTAACATGATTCAGTAGTAATTTCAGAGAAAATGGTTTCAATAGAATTATGTGATTTAAAACCAGATTGAGGGCTGCTGAGAAATGAATGTGCAGTAGGGAATATGGAATAGGGAGTGTAGACTACTCTACTTTGGAGTTTAACCATGAAGAAGAGGGAAATAAATGGTTTGAGATGTGGGAGAGGGGAGATGAAGGAGCTAATGTTGATACCTTTGCTTTTCTCAGTGATGTAGAAGGTGAGGTCATTAGCTGAAGGGGATGAGATGATTGTGGAGTTGGATGCTTACAGAGAAAGGATATATAACTTCCCATCACCTGCTATCACAAAGAAATTGGGAATAAATGGGAAATCAATCATTTTACTCCTAAGAATTGTATGTAATCTTCATCATATAGGTTGCATTCCTCCTATAGAGAATGCTAGTGAAATAGAAGAACTATAAGTAAGGAAAAATGATAAGGAACCATAATAGATTAAGCTTTTAAAGACTGAGAGAAAAATCTATCCTATACAATATTGCATTTATTATTCTTTCTCTACAAATTGCTCTTTCTTAAAAGAAATGGTTTTACATTTATCTCAGGAGTTTATTAATAGGTTAACATCTTTCTTCCAAAAAACATTAAACATATTTTGCAGGATATCAGGAAATTCAGCTACTTTTTTGTGATTAGATTTAAAAACTGAAAAGATTGTTTCTGTTCTCTCCAAACACATTGACTACATTCACCATCATCTGTATTCTAGTCAAAGAGAAACTCAGCCACAACCTCTATCAGAGCTTTTGTTATTTCAGTGCTGATTGAATGTCTTGGAAAAATCCAGATCTTTTAGCTGTGGAATTAGCATTAGTAAAGAAAATTCAAGTGTATGTTCATAGGTTAGGAGCCAAGTTTTTCACAGCACATGAAAATAACCTTATGATAAGTTTGTAGCATTTTTTCTCCAAAGATGATTAATAGCAGCTTTTGATTGTGATTTTGTCTTGAACAGAATCAGTATTCTTTCAGGTGGGTACGAAGAGGCAATCAAGTATACAGAATCCATTTTAGTCCACAATGCTTTGTGAGGGCATTGTCAGTTTCTGCCTGTTTCCTGGATTCAGATCTTAAACCTGTAATTCCTTTTTCCTTGACATGAAATTAGCCAAATGGATTCACCAATGATTTCTTGAACAAGGTGGATATTTTCACATTCCAGCTCCTAATTCCCTCCCTGTTGAAACTAAGAAATATTCCTTCTAAGGATGAAGTCAGTATCCTGTTAAAACTAAAATATTCATTTAGTTGCTACTATTCACCTTGGTGTGAATTACTTTTTAAGGTTGTTTTCTAAGGAGGACTGGGTAGATATGTGGCACAACACAGGTAAAGAGTAATAACAGAGAAGGGTTAGGGATTTAGGGGATAGCACATATTGCTGAGGGGGACAGCCCATGAGTGGGTACTAAAAGGTGGGAGGGGGCCATTGTTTCTTGGAAGAAGAAAATAGCTGGGCACATAAAAGAAATTTCATCTTCTACAAAATTTTGTTAAGGGCTTACTGTATAAGCCCTTACTATGGAGGGCAGAGGGGAATTAGCATTTATATAGTGCTTACTGTGTGTAAGGCACTGTACTAAACACTTGATAAATATCCCATTTGATCTTTACAACAACACTGCAAGGTAGGGGTTATTATTGTTCCCATTTTACAGTTGAGAAAACCGAGGAAAAAAGAGGTTAAGTGACTTGCCCAGGGTCACACTGCTAATAAATGTGAGGCCAAGTTTGAACTCAAGTCTTCCTGACTCCAGACTAATCACTCTATCCACTATATCACCAGATACCATTTGTCTATGGTAAAGCTTCAAATCATCAGAATTCAGTTACCTGAGATCTCAGTTAATTGTTATTGTTCAGTCATATCTGATTCTTCATGACTCTATTTGGGGTTCTCTTGGCAAAGAGGCTGGAGTGGTTTGCTGTTTCCATCTCCAGCTCATTTTACAGGTGACGAAACTGAAGCAAATAGACTTAAGTGACTTGCCCAGGGTGCCACACCTATCTGAAGCCAGACTTAAACTCAAGAAGATGAATCTTCCTGACTCCAGGCCCAATGCATGATGGCACCACCTAGCTGCCCTTCTCAGTAATTAAGAAGTCTGAAATGATGACTCCCAAGCATTCTAGTCATCCTAACTAACTAAGGTTCCAGGTAATTGAATTCTAATGAATAATTAAAGATTTTGAGTAAATCAATCAAATAAATAAAAAGATTAAATTAGGGGTTTTTTCAGTTGTTGCTTTTTTTTGTTTTGTTTTTACTTTTGCTTTTACATTTTTTTTGTGCCACAGACCCTTTATGGCAGTCTGGTGAAGCCTACGGTTCCCTTCTAAGAACAATGCTTTTAAATACACAAAATAAAATACACAAGATTATAAAGGAAACCAAGTATATTGAAATACAGTTGCCAAAGATTTTTTTAAAACAAGTTCATGGCCCCCAGGTTAACAACCCTTGGATTAAATAATTCTTCAGATGCTCTTCTTCCTGAGGCAAGGGCAGCTAAACACACATTATACAAACACACATTTGCCCAAGGTCACACAGGTGGTAAGTCCCAGAGCTAGGACTATCTCAAGTCCAGTTTTCCATCCACTGTACCATGCTAACTGCCTCTCATAAAGTTACTTCTCCCAGAAGGTTAAATAAGGAAATGTCAAAATTGCTTTCAAATCTTTCCTGATTAACACTGCACACCCATTAATGCCAATAACTCCATAGACTTATAGGCTCTTGGAGTTAGAAGGTACATTAGAGATCACCCTGGACAATAACCTACAATCTACTCGAATTATCTTCTAGAAACTCGATCTAGAAAACTACAGGAATGTGAAGAGAAATGTTAATCCAGAAAAATCAACCAAAGAAGATTACCTTATTCTCTTATCTTCAACCTTCTTCAAGTATTCATCTCTCTTTAAGACTCCCAGGATCATTTCCTTCTCATGCTCCAATAAAAATGATAGATTGATAATCTCTGTGTTCTTAGACATGGTATTTCTGCAGTAACCCCTGAAGCAAGTGGCTGGATAGGCTCAAGATGAAATGACTTCTGTAACTCTGAAGGACTTTTTTAAAAAATCACATTGATGAAGAGAATCTACTGAGTCAACTAGCATCGCATGGTATTCTTCATGAAGTCTGTGCAGACATTCCCAAGGGTGATTACATGTTTTCTCAGGAGACGAAGGGGAGAAAAAGGACCTCCATGAAGATTACTTGCTGAGAAACTCATTTTTTTCTTAATTGGAGATCCACAAAGTCTTTGCCACACTTCTTAGCTAAATTCCAACATTGAGGTCCAACTTAAATCTCTGAGCACAGATACACAGAATTTGAGTGGTTGTGTCCAAATCCTAGAAGAACTGAAAAGGGAGTGGGGAAGAGAAAGAAAATGGCGGAAATGACTTAAACATTTATTTAGGGCACCATATAAAAACATCCAGTTTTTGTTTAAAATGTTTGCATCACTATTAAGGAAACTGGTCTATAGTTTTCTTTCTGCTTTTGATCTCTATGGTTTAGTTATCAAAACCGTATTAGTGTCATAAAACACCTAATTTTTGAAACAGTGGTGTGTCTGGATCAGGAACAAGATCTTTGAATCTGTCGGTCAAAAGGGTTTAGAGCTCTAGAAAAAGGTTGAGAATAGAGATATAGCTTTGGAAATCACGTAATGGAAAGACAACACTCACACAGGTAGGGACAACACACAGGATTGTGTTTGTTAGATCTCAACTCTGAAGAAATATTACATTCACAAATAATCTGATTTTTCATGGAGTATTCTTATAGCAAAGGGATAAAATAAAAATTTATATAGTTAATCTGTGCAAATATCTCTGTTTGAACAAGGATATTTTGTTTAGCATAAGAAAGGATTATGATTTTAAGAGGATAAAATAAGGAGGACCACAGACTATAAATTGAATATACTCCCAGAAGGTGAAGACAAGATCAAGAAAACATCAGCCTCTTAAATTGATGCTAACAATCAATATAGAATAGGTAATGAGGGAGATGTTAAGAGAGACATAAAAGAGAGAGGGGCTACACAGACAGACAGGATCCAGATCTAGCCACAAGAAAATGCCAGCAGCAGAGTGATGAAGGATTGCCCCAGGATGGGGGTTCCCTGTAGTCAAAGCAGACAACTCAAGAGTCTGATAGTTCCAAGTTTTATTTTACTGAGTGGAGTTTTACTCTACTTTACTAAGCAGAGGGTCAAGTAAGCCCAGTTTCCTTCTATCTGCTCCCTGTGTTCAGTGATCCCTAGGCAAAAAACAGTCCTCATGGAAGTTCTGGGGCGGGGGGCAACTTGTTGGGAAGTAGTGATGATCTGAGAAGTCTCAAGTTCATTAGGTTGTTCCTTTAATTCTCCTTATATCTTCCTTTCCCTGAAGTATCCACATCTGGGTTTTAAGGTCAATCTATTTGGGGGTGGGGGATTGGGGGCAGCTAGGTGGCACAGTGGATAGAGTGCCAGGCCTGGAATCAGGAAGACTCCTATTCCTGAGTTCAAATCTGGCCTTGACACTTACTAGCTGAGTAACCCTGGGCAAGTCACTTAATCCTGTTGGCCTCAGTTTTCCCGCCTGTAAAATGAGCTGGAGGAGGAAATGGCAAACCACTCCAGTATCTTTGTTAAGAAAACCCCAAACAGGGTCACGAAGAATCAGACACAACTGAAATGACTGAACAACAACAACTTTGGGGGGTGTTAATTCAAGCTCTGTTTGGTCTGTATCACTGCATCTACAACGACCCTCCCTGTCACCCCTGGATGGTCAAGATAGTGACCACTGGTGTCATCTTCGTAGCATAACAGTTCTCATTCCCTCGTCCTTTCATCAAAATAGAAGGATCCTTCTTATAAAGAACAGAAACGATATCCAAAGGTATTCTATGGGCCTGTACTGCAGCCTACTTTGGGGGGCCTGAGCTGTTGTTGTTGTGTACTCTGCCCATAACTACTCTAGTAGGGCCTGTGACACTATCTACTTTGCTGGAGGCTATTGCCCCTAGTACTACTATTACTGTTACTGGTGCTGCTGCCCTTGTTACAGTACAACAACTGGCAGTCTAGCAAACAAAAACACAGGTAATTAAAATTATATGATCTACAAAACAAAACAAAACAAAACAAAACTATAATGATGATAGTGTCAGCTCACTTCATTTAACCACAGTCTGACAAAGATTTATTAGGCATCTGCTAAATGTAATGCACTATGTTAGACTCTGGGGATAGGAAAAAAAAAAAGATAAAAAAATACAATCACTGCTCTTAAAGTATTTACCGTCTAATATGGGACAGACTGGTGCACAAATCATTGAAATACAAATTAAAATATTCTAAGTGAATGTCTACTCTGTAAAATACTAAGCATCACAGGAGAAGTGTAAAATATGGTCACTGGCCTGAAGAATCTTATCATTTAGTTGAGAAGACAAGTATCACTGAGAATTATGAAGCCAAATTTACTCCATGTGTTACAATCTCTAATTAATTTTGTCCATCACTCATATTGAGTTATTTTGAGTACATATATCTGAAGGATTTTTTTTAATACCTCTCTTCTTGGGACCAGTTTTGACATCTGCTGGTCCTAGAAAAAAAGTTATTAGTTGGCTCTATGACTTCTATCAATGAAAACCAACTAATTAATTCATCTTTAAAAGGAATCAGTCAAAAAATGGCAATTTCCTTTCCAGTGTTTTATGTATGCTACAAAAGACTTTGAATTAATAAAATTAAAAATTCCAAATTTTTTAGCAATAACATTCTTTTCTTTAAAAAAATTACTTATGCCTTTTGCTATTCATTACATTTATTTCCAATTTTTTCACTTCACCTCCTCAACCCAGAAAGTCCTTCATAGTAGCAAAGATTTAAAAACAAAAAAGAAGTCCAGGAAAAAAAAATCTGACATTATATACTATATTCCACACCCTTCATTCCCCACCTCAGCAATGAAAGGAAAAAGATACATTTTCTCATCTCTTCTATGAGGCCAAGCATGGTAATTATAATTATAGTATTCAGTATTCTTTTTTTGTTCTTGACCTTTACATTGTTGTAATCTTCATATATAATTGTTTTCCTGGTTCCTCTTTCTTCACTCTGCATCATTTTTCATATTCATCATTTCTTACAGCACACTACTTAATATTCTATTACATTTATGTGTCTCAATTTGTTTAGTCATTTCCTAATTGATGGGTACCTAATTTCCAGTTTTTGCTAACTCAGCAAGTTCTGCTATTAACATTTTGGTATATAATGAGAACTTTCTTTCTGTCTTTTACCTCACTGGAGTGTATGTTTAGCAGTAAGAGCTCTAGGTCAAGAAATACAGACATATTAATCACTTTCTTAGCAAAACTCAAAATTTCTTCCCAGAAAGGTTGAAGCAGTTCACAGCTGCAGAAACAGTAATATTAATTAGTATGCTTGCCTACTTTCCTATCCATTTCTATATATTGCTAGGATTTTGTTTAAAAATTTGCATCAATATTCAGGAGTGATATTGGTATATGCGCTTTCATTACTTTATCTCTCCCTGGTTTAATTATTAAGTTCTTATTTATTTAACAAATATAATTTGGTGGAGTGTTTTCCTTGTTATTTTATTTTTAATTTGTTTAGGAGGAATGGTAATTCTGTACTTCTAGATCTGTAAACCATTATAATTCTTGAAAAACAAATTTATTGCTTTTAGAATTTTTCTTTCATTTATTCAGTATTCAATATATCTTTATTAAATCTCCATTTAGAGCTATATTTTCCATTGTGTCACTTGTCTTAATTACTACTTTTGTCAAGCTATAATTTGTAAATCTCTATGCCAATTCTCTAAGACTAAGTTACAAAAGAGGTTCCAATTTGCACTGGTAAAGGGAGTTTATTGGGAGGTCCAGTGAAATCACAGGTCCAGCCTCTACCACCACTCCACCCTCACCTTGAACTATTAAAAACGTGTTTAATATTTTTGCTATTTTAAATGTATTTACAATTTCTCTGTGCTATAGCACATAGCCTATTTTCATACATATTCCATGTAGAGCTAAAATATGCATATTTTAAATGTTCCCATTCAGAAGATGGTATAAGTCTTTTGGATCTCACTGCCCTACTCTTTGTTCAGCTTTATATTTCCCTTTTCATCTTTCTCTTAGATTTGTTCAAATCTGATAAAGGAATATTAATATCTCTTATAATTATTGCATTATCATTAACATTATTTCAATTCAGTTCATTTTTACTTTATGGAGTCAACTGATATGAATATTAATATCTCCTATAATTATTGCATTATCATTAACATTATTTCAATTCAGTTCATTTTTACTTTATGGAGTCAACTGATATGTTATTTTGTGCACACACATTTAAAATAGATATTTTTTCATTGTCTGTGGCATCTTTAAGCATAATGGAGTTTACTTGTCTTGATACTGTTAATATTTATTTTTCCTTTGTCTGATGGCATGACTGGAACTCTACTTTTGATGAATCACCTGATGCATATTAAATTTTGTTCCCTCTCTCATTTCATTCCATATGTGTCTTTATATTTTAGTTGTGTTTCTTCTATGTGGAAAATTATTGGATTATAATTATTAATTTTGCTGTTAATCATTATTATTATTTTATTTTCATAATAGTCTGCTGCTTTCTTTTATTTTATTATGTTTTAAATTTTCATTTATATTTCCATCTGATTTGTTAAGTGTGTGTTTTTCTACATTTGCTTATTTTTATTTAGCTTTCAAAAGTAACTTTTATTATTTTATTTTATTATTTAGCTTTATTCCCTTTACTCTTAGGTAAGCATTATACTGCTTTGATGTTAGTTTATTCCCTAAGGCTCTTTACCTATTTCCATTTACCTGACAATTCTTTGACTTTATTTTAACAGTTGATTCTCTTTCTCGTCATGTACTTGATGCTTCTTTTAATACTTCTCTTTTCTCTCCCAGATGAGCATGAAATTCACATTCTTCCCTTACTCCCTTTCTTCCCAAGTTTTAGTTTAAGAAACATTTCTGTTCATTTTCCAAGAAATGTTCTATTGTTTTGTCCTCCAATTTCTCTTCCTTCCTAATCTATTCTGAATTCTATTCTCTAGTTCATGTGTTATACACTTACTTGTTCCTTCTTTAATTTCCCTGAGGGCACAGCTTCTGGAGAACCAAAATTAAATTCCCTTCTTTATCCCTTTTCTATGTTATTAAGTTTATGGATTTTACCTGATACTCCTTTCCCCCCCTTTTTCTATTTCTCACTCTTAGAAATACCAATTCATGAAGGAAAGAATGTCAAATGGAAGCAGTGTCATGTGATAAAAGTTGCTTTTTATCA